ACAGTCCTGACCCTTTGCCAAACACTTTTATGGCCTGAAACAAAAATTACAAGTCGGGCCTTTAGAAAAACTAAACCAGCTAATTGTTTTGCTGTTGCAGAGCCCATAAATCGGATTGGGCTGTTTTAATCTGATCTCTCTTTGTGGCATGCATGTTACTAAAGCAGGAAACATGATGTTTTGGCAGTGTCCACAGTTCTCCCAACTGGTAGAAACAGGCCGATACAGGTAGTAAAAGCCTGGATTTCCCATGTGCCTCATCCTCTCTGACCGGCCAAGGATTAACAGAGTTGGGTAAAGGCAGGATAAGCTGTGCCTGGTCGATGTGCCCCGTTTAAACTAGCTGTGGATTTGCACATTCAAGTGCACAGTTAATGGCAGCGGCTCTCCGTTTCCTGGAATGGCACAGCTCTAATCAGTCCTTAAATTTATCCTTTAGGATCACCGTATTAGGGAGTAATGCTGTGTCTACTTTAACCCCACCATCAAGTCTAGTTTTGATAAGCATAAGCCTATTGTGTTAACAACATGTTTAACAGATCTACACATAAGTGTGTTTTTGGCATTGACTATATGCCAGTTCTGAGGAAATGTTGAACCATTTAACTGTAAAGGTCTTGTCCAAACTTTAGTATTTCCCATCTGGAGGGCCACCATTACCTAGCACACGAGTACATTTGCATTTCAGTTGGACTGAAGTAATAATTTGTCTTTTTTAAAATGCCACGTTAATGCTTTAATCCTAAAGAAATCGTCTGGACTAACAAACCTAGATAATGCGTTTGTAGCTTGGCTTCACCCAGCATGTATACACATTAATCAGACTAAAATTGGCTCAGGTCTTGATGCTTGTTCTATTTACTTAATTAAAAAAGCAACACAGTCATTAAACATTTTGTCACAGTAACTTAATTTCATTTCAATCAATCCACTTAAATTTATTGAATGGAAGTTGACTTAATCCTTTTGTGTTGGGCCTACATTAATTATTTTATACATTTATGAGTAAAGGGAAAGGCTTGCTATGTTTAGTTATTGGTGTGGGTTTGTGGTTGCCCTTGTGCTGAAGAATGGAGCTTTGGGATGTGTGTGTGTGTGTATAAAATGTGCATTTCTATACATATATAATTTACACATTTATTCTTAAATGTGCATATTTATATATAATTAAAATGCATTTTAAATTTGAAGTTACATATAGCAAGCTAATGTGGCAATTCCCATTTGAGCTATAGGTTTGATTAGCGAATAGACCTGTACTAGTCTTTTTTTTTTCTGAGACTTGTACTAGTTTTGTTTGTTTTTTTGAGAGAGGAAATAAAGAGCAAGTTGCATTCCAACTAGATTGACAATTAGAATTTTTTTTTTATCAAGAATTTATAGACTTTTAATGTAAATACAGTATTTCTCAATACAGAATTATTCACTCTATTCACCTGCCCACAGGGGTTTACCTTGAGATTTTCACCTAAACCAACACATCATAAGCACATCATTTCTATAAAATTCAGCAGACGGTTTTATCCTCTACATCTGAAAAGTATTTTAAAACTAATGTCATCTCAGCATTCCCTTCAAGTGCATGTGACAGCTATTCTGCCAGATCAGAATCTCACACTTAATGAATCATAAAGCAGATGGACGCATTTAAGGTGGAATCCATGGCTGGGATCTGCAAAATATTTACTTCGTTTTTGGTTTATAAAAAGCGCGCGGCAGTCAGTTTTGATGGATACGTCAAAGGCCTTTTCGATGCAGATGCTGAAATCATTTCATTGTTGTGGCTTAACACACTTACGCCCTTTAAGGGGGAGGCATTAGCATTAAATTACAATGTGGTGGAGGTGATGAGAATTGAATTAGAGGCAAGCTTCACTGGTGGGATGTGAAGCTGATGTAAGCGATTGATTTTAAATCTTCTGTAAGCATAGGGATGTTGAGAGGGCGTTAGGGGGAAGGCTCATTTAAAGTGCTTCAAGATTACAAATCCCATCTGCTCTCAATGGACACAACAACAGACGAGGTTCAAAGATGCTCGCAATTGATTCTACTACTTTGTCCAAGTCAGTTCGGATTTCATAATCAGTCTCATTTTCTGTCTGTTTGATTTCCATAGTTTTTTGGTGCATTTACATTCTTTATTTCAGAACAACTACAGATTTGTTCCTGTTGCAACACAGCAGCTAATACAAGCTATGTGTTTCCCGTATGGCTGGGTAACGATACAGATTCGATTCTGATTCACAAGATCTTGATTTCATTCCAGTCTGATTGATTAATTTAAATATATTTCAGTTATAATTTCCATTTTTCTTACTTATTAAAGAAATTCCATGGTCACGCTGTAATACAAGACTGTGTTTCTGACTGATTCAAATTGGTAACTATTCATTAAAAGACTAAGCGTCTCAAGAATCCGTTTACACTGGTTATGCTGTATGTTTTTGATTCACTATAAAGAACCACTCAGTCATTTGTGAATCAGACTACATTCTTTACATTGTATGCAAAGAACCGGTTCAATTCTTCATGCATCAAACTACACTTTAGTTTCCATTCCTCAAACATTTTGCATAGATTGACTAAGCTTAGTATGATGCTAGTAGACATTTGACATTTCTGAGATTTCTCCCAATTTAAATGGCCTCCTACATTTGCATCAAGTTGGCTTGCATTGGCTGGGTTCAAATTACAGCGTTTGGCTTTGAGCTCTGAGAAAATCTGGTTTTAAACCGTGCCGTCTCTCATTACAGGTGCCATGGTCTTCTAGCCACACTGAATGGACGACAGCAGGGCTGGATTGTCATTGGCTGGCCTGAAGCACCTCTGCTGGGTGGGTGTGGTGTGGCTGCGGTCGGTCACGGCCACTCTCGAAAACAAACCATCTATCCACTGTTGAGAGGAGCCACAGAGAAGAGCTGAAAAATCTACAGAAGAGAGGCCACAAAGGCCTTCTCCCTACAGCACAACACTAATTCATGCCATGCTTGTTCATTGCCAAATCAGAGGCACAAGGACACAATACACTCTTACACCAATATCTACTCTTTGGAAACTCTTTTGCAATCCATCGAGGTCAAGAACATTCCATTGAACTATGATAAATGACAACTAAAGCATGATTTTCCTTTCTTCTTCACTTTGATTGGCAGTAGAGCATGTTCATGTTGCTTCCAAAACGCCTTATGGACACTGCGTTAAACAAAACATCTACAGAAATGCAGAACATCCCCATGGGAAAGTGCAAGTTTACTCGAGCAGGATGTGAAATGCCTGTGGTACTTCTATTTAAGTATCTGTGAAATGGATTTTAATCTGGAACTTGTAGAGATTCTACAGCACAATGTATTAGAGGACTTCCTCTCGTTTTAAGATTTATTGAAGGTTTAAACATTTGATAAGTGCATTTAATTTATGTGTTTGTGACAAAACAAAACAGTAAAGAGAGAAATTGCACATGAGAGTACATGATGGATGATGAGGGTATTGATGTTTGTAACCCTTTTCCTTTTGATTTGAATGCTGGATTATCTTTAAAGGACTAGTCTGGGTTTAATACAAGTTATGCACTGTCGATAGCCTTTGTCACGTAATGTTGATGAATTTCAACTAGTTCCTCGTTCCAGTGAGGTACTTACAATGGGGCCATTTTATAAACAATAGGGCCTTTCGCACCGCTTTAGTTCCAGAACTAAATGTACAGTACTAAAGTACTGGGACGATTTTGCGCTAACTATTTCCCAGTACCATTTAAAGGGTTGCATTCGCACCGACAGTGTGAAGTGGGTAGTTCCACAATTAGTTCTGGTACTATGAAAAGGCCCTATTAAAATCCTCAGTTTTAATAGTATAGTCACAAGACGTAAATATGCATGTTAACATGATTATAGTGTAAATGAATAAATATGTTGCCATGATGCAGCAAAACCTTAAAAACAAATGTAAAAAATGTTAACAGCTTTGCAGCTCATTTTCATAAAAAAATTTATTAAATGTGCTTTGATACAATAAGCTCAGATGCCTGCCATCTTCCAAAAATTGGCCCCATACATATATTATTTATTTTATTTTATTTTTTTATTGATTGGGCTTAATTTGTATTGAACCCGGAAAATTCCTTTAAGAACAACCATGATTCTGAAGTTGAAGGTTGGTTTTCTGCTCACTTACAGTCTTAAAACTCTTGAAATGGGATATGAATTTGAATTGTGTTTTTATCTTCGGTAGTAAATGACTCACTGCTAAACATTTCCATTTGAAGGGGACTTTCTGGGATTATGCAGCAGATCCCACTGGCATCCTTGTGAACTGAATTCCTGGTGCCTAATACCAGTAGACGTGTTTGTTGCTCATTCAGTCAGTTGAAGGGTTTGAATAAATGATTTTTTGATGCTTGCAGACTGGTTTCATAAGCACCCTGGAGGTTTAAAAAAAAAAAAAGTGCCTGGATTCCTCTCTGAAAACTCCTCCACGAAACATCCAAGGTTTTTTTTAAATGTAACCGGAACAAGCTTTACATTATTCGCCAAATCTTATAATGCTCAAGCTAAATCCGCATGGATTTTTTTTTATGCCTCTTAACTTAGAAGTTTTATCCATTGCATGAGGTTTCCTGCTCCTACAGACAGAATTTAGAATGTTAGCTTTGTTGAACAAAGGAATTTGAGTTAATATTTTAATATTAAATTAAAATAAGTTACAAAATTCATGTTTTATTTTTATTTATTCATTTATTTTTGGTCTTTATGCAAAACAACAATCATTCTACTATACCATTAAAATAAATAAAAAAGTGCAATTTATAATACCGTTGACATTTGTTTGGGTGCAATAAGTCAAAACATACAGTTCTTCTGATCGAAATAAAGCTGTGAACAAGAAAAAGAAAAAAATCTAATATGATTATTGGAGCCTCTTTTATAGGATGGCTATGCCAATGGGAGTGCCAGAGGCTCAGATTTATTGTGGCTGTATTTTAAACATCCGCTTTATTCCCTAAAATAGGAGAGGGCACCGAGTCCAGGAAATTGTGCAGTCGTCTGGAAACAGAGGCTGGCATTTCATAATGATTCCTTGAGGCACCTCTTTGCAAAGTTTTTATAGAGTTCATGTTTACTCTTAAGCCCGCGAGAAGCTATTAGCACATCTGATGCTGACTGACGGATACATTGGTGCACTGCAGCAAGAATGTTTACAAATCGATTTGGAATGAGAGGGAGCAGTGTGAATATTTCAATTTGGATTTATCGAGAACTGACCACTTCCTGTGCAGTAAGGGCAGTGGAACATTTGCAAAATATCCAACATCTAAATAATTTTGTCCTTTTAGATAGGAGATTGCGATTTTGCGAAGACAAGACTGCGATTTCCTTTCAAGCTTCTAATCTAGTACTGTGGCTGACAGCCCAGTGGATTGTGGGAGGGGGTGAGGAGGCCCCCAAAGACAGACAGACAAGGACACAGGCGCTAGGAGACGGAGCACCCTGGGTGAATGGAAGGTAAATCCTCTGCCAGGCAAGAATGTTGTGCACAGTCCCTCCTGCCACTCATTTTGCCTTTCAGGCCACCTGCTAGCCCTGAGGACTGGGCTCAAATAACAGCCACTGGCCTGCTACTTGCACACCAAAGAAAAAGACCTTCACAAGGTTCAAGAGTATGCTATGAGAAAATATGAACATTTTAAGCAGCCACTCCAGGGGTGTCCAGGTTATATTTCAAAATGAAGACAATTTTGCACACATTATTTTTAATTATAAAAAGTGTATTTGGGCATTTACTTGTTTTTTCCTGTTGTTTTGTTTTTTATTCGCTGTTATATTTTTCTATTTAAAATATAAAATTACTTTTTATTTTACAAGTCATCATCAGCATAAATTTAAGATTTGTGATAAAAATACAGTAAATTTAAGAAAAGGTTTACTATTATTACATTTAAAAATTTGGGAAAATACATTTCTAAGTTTGGAATAATTAAGATCTTTTAATGTTTTTGAAAGTAGGCTCTTATAAAAGATTATTCATTTGATCAAAAATGCTGTAAAATAATATTACAATCTAAACAAACTATTTACTTCATTATATTTTTAAATGTTATTCCTGTGATGGCAAAACTGAATTTTCAGCAACCATTACGTAAGTGCTTAGTAACACATGATTCTGAAAATTACATTTGAAAAAAATTAAAATATAAAAGTTATTTTAGATTCTAATATTACACAATATTATTGTTTCACTATGTTCGATCAAATGCAGCCTTGGTGAGCATAAGAGGATTTAAAAAATAAAATAAATTAAACAAAAGTTCCAAACCTTTGACTGGTATATTGTTCAAACGTTTGGGGTTTTTAATGTTTCCTGGTCATCAAGGCTGATATATATATATATATATATATGTTCTCTATTTGAATATATTTTAAAATGATCATGGCCAGGTTGCGTGGCATTTCCTCATCCACAAAAACCTTCAACAAAACTATGGCTGTCAGGGTTATTTTCTGTTTTGGTTTAGTTCTATGTCCCTTGTTTAATTTGACCCAGTTTCCTTTGTTCCCATTTTCCCTCCACTCATTTGTTTCCATAGTTACTCATTAGTTCTCACCTGTTCTGATTCTGTTAATCATCTGTCTATTTAAGCCCTCAGTTTTAGTCAGTTCCTTGTCTGGTAGTGTTTGTATGTTTCAGTTGTTGTGTCATGGTTTCTCCTGAGTATTCCCATTGGCTTTATTATTAAAGTCTATTAGTTTGTTGACTTCTCCTGCATTGTGTGCTTGATCCTGCACAACATGTTACAATGGCAGGTAAAATAAAATAAGACCCAGACTATGTAAGGAAAAACCTGGTTTGTGCCGACCAAAGTTTGTTTTGAGTTGACTGTCAAGAGCACAAAACCATCAGATTACAGATACATTCAGCAAACATTTATGGCGCTTTTCCACTGCGTGGTACGGCTCGGCAAGGCTCAGTTTGCGTTTCCACTGCAGTTCAGTACCGCTTTAGAGTGGGCGGGATTATTCACATGTCGTTATAGTTGCGCCGCCTCTATTGCCGCGACTCTTGAAAAACTTATTCATTCCGCGTCGCCCCATCAAGCTCTCGCTGGATCCGCTCCTCTACTATCAACGAGAGGAACGTCTGTACTTCCTCAACAGACAACGAAACAGACACTTTTTGGTTGTTAAAAAAGGTGCGCTTGTTCAAAACAGTTGCGTTTGATCCTTCGCTGGCTGTGCTGATTTAAATCTAGCGGTTCTGTTGTGTTTGTGTCGCAAGTTCAGTGACGCAGGTAGTGACGATGCTCTCCGGCCAATATGTGGTCAGCAGAGTTTACACGTCACGGTTTGGTAACGGTACGGTTCACTTGGAACCTCAACCGAGGTGGTACTAAAAAAAGTACCAGGTACCAGGTACTGTACCCAGTGAAAA